TTTTGTGGTGGTGAGTGTGTATCTTTTGTCCTCAGTCCACCCATTCATTTGATAGGCAACACTTTCATATATAGCAACAGATCTAGAGTTTCACTGTTACCTTTCTAATATTTTATCTATGTCATAGTCAAAACTAAACTAAGTCAAACAAACATCCATGAGTTCTTTGCCTTAGAATTTGAATTTTACAATTTCTCAGGAAAAGTCAAAAGGAGAAGTCAGGTGTTTAGCAAAACAAACTTTTTTGAACTTCCCCTATCTCACCAACTTGTCTTAGCAGTCTAGTAGATTGCTGCACTCGTGGTGCAGTATCTGAGCAACTTTTGGTAGTACATTTCAATAATGGCATAAAAAAGCTTCGGTACAGTGTTCATTTTCTTTTTTTTTTCTTTTTTTTTGAGTATTGCATTTTCTGAATGAAATTGTTATATACATTCATAAACTCTTTATACATAACTGTGAAATGTTTTTATGCAAGTTGGGGAGATAAGGCAAAGAAACGCAGTGTTTGAGGAAGGTGGCTAGTCATGGGAAGGACCCAAGTTCCTGAAAAGTTCACTGCACAATTTCAGGTCAACAGTCTGAGAGCGCCTGTTTTCCACATGCCTCTGTTGGTCAAAGAAATTGAAGTTGCTGACAATGCTTTAAGTCCTGCAGCTCTTACATGGCCTTTTATCTTCTGGACTCAGACCATGGGATAACTTGAGCTCACCATGTCTGTTGTTATCTTCAGAACTGATGGGCAGCCCGTGTAAGAAATAGAGGCCAGGTCTGCAGAGCTCAAAAAGCCTGTGACAAGATTTGCTGTGGTAGTCTGTGCAAACTGAAGTTTTTATGTGTTGCAAATAATTATATCAAAGTATATCATATTGGTGGATTACTTTTGGATGAGAGAATCCATCTTTACTGGTTGGAATTGTTGAGGATTCAAAGGATAACAGTTTATTTTTGCATCAGATTTATGAGGGAATCTTAAAAAGACAGACAGGCTTTTGCCAGAACTTAAGAACTCACTTCCTTGAGGAGTCATCCTAAAATATATAAATACCCATGGAAATCCAGTATCAGTTTGCCTGGCATTTAGTAGGGAGAATTAATACTCCTTTACCTCCCAAGCAGTTCTCTGAAGATAAAGATACTGAAACAGAGAGATAACTCAGTGATAGGAATCATTAGGTAGCCCAGATTGATAGGTGAGAGCTAAGTCTGCCTGTCAGCTTTTATAAGCATAAAATCTACCTAAAAGAGGCATTCATTTTTTTTTGTGTAGGACTTTTAAATGACCTTATCAGAAAGCCCATGGTGAAGTGACATAATGGAAGCTAGTACCATTACCAATAAGTATTTACTGATGAGACTGAAGGTTGTCATGCAGGCCACTTCTGTATTTCCCTAGCTATATAGCACTACAGAGAATCCATGGAAAAGCCTAGGAACTAAGCAAATGCCATCAAGTTCAAACTAGGCTAGAGGGAAGCGAATTGAGTTGCAGGAGCCTCAATCATATAAATCAGTCCCTTGTTAAGTTGGAGATCTCCAAGATAGCTGTCAAGTCACATGCACCATGATCTGCAGCTGTGGCTATATAGGAAGGCTTAGAATTGTTTAGGTCACTGTGGATGAAAGTTATTGACTTTATGGATCAGAAAGAGCCAGCTGCAGATTGCAACTTCTTTGTGCAGATGAATCTGCTTTATGAATGGACACTTTTCCCCTCACACAAGCAAAATATTTGGAGAAACTTTTTTCTTGTTTTGTTTTCTTCCTTGTTTCGTTTGGTTGCCTCCTTTTTCTTTTTGCTGTTGCATTACTTTCTAGGTGAAGTTTGCCATATCACCAGAAAACATCAAAATACAGTTTGAAATCATAAGAGACACTAGTTACAGAACATTTAGGAGAATTAATCTGAAAGCTCCAAGCTTGATCGAAAGTCAAATTCTCTGCTTTTGAGTGCCTCTTTTTTTTTTCTTCCTTCCTTATGCATTATGATGTAAACACAGACTGCCTTCGTTACAACAGTGTGCCGGATGGCCATGAAGCAAGATTCAGCCTGTTCTCAGAAGCTGGATGCCCTATACTGCTTTACAAGAATACACAGCAGACTCAGGCGTTCCCCTGGGAAGCAGTAGATGTTCTGTGACATTTTCCTGCAGGCTAGTTGACAGATCTCTGCACCCTTCCTTTAATGTCGTTGGTGACAACAGATAGTTCTTTCCTTTGATAGGGAATTTAATGCTTCATTACTAAAGGCAAAGAATATTTTAAATTAGATTTCAAAAGTAATTCAGGATGTAAAAAATGTGTGTATGTAAGACTTAAGTAGGCTAAAGTAAAAGGTGTAAAATGAGACTGCTGTCTTTTGCAGTTCGTACTCCATATAATGACATACTTAATAAGGCAACATGGGTCTTGTTTTCTATGATAGTGTGTGATAAGGTCTTGTTAGTGGTTTAGGAGACAATTAACTATTTATTTATATATTTTAATGTTTCCCTACGAATGCAGGCAGGCAATCATCTCCTTTTGCATATGCTGCAGTCTCAGCAGAAGGCAAATTTGTCAAGAAGGGCAAACAGAAAGAGGCAGTGCTGCCTGCTGCGGTTGGAACGTGTAAGTCTGCTTTTGCTTTCTGCTCTCCCTTCTGCTAAGCCACTGACTGCACACTGGCTGTGACAGGGCGGGCAGTTTCTGCAGGCCTTCAGGATGCTAGGTTGGAAGAAACTAATCTTTTTGAGCAGAGAAGAGCAGGGAAGATAAATCTTTCCCAATTAGATGTTACTGTGCTACAGCTGTGATGCAAAAGAGGAATGAGCATGGTGAGACCAGTAAGCCTTTGTCCTAGAGAACAGCAAGCTAGTAGAAGAATTGGAGCTGAAAGACTACATTTTACCTCATATTATCATTTATTAACAAACATGGAATAAGTGTTTTTTTTTTTGCCTGGATTGTGTTGCATTGGTGTGTTCCATTTGACAATATTTTGGTCTGAACTGAGTGATGATGTCATCTGATTGATGCCTGCAAGTGTATCCTTAATTTAAATTTATGCCTCTTCATTGGTCATCCCTTAGTTTCATTGCTATAAGCAGCAAACTATAATGTGCAATAAACTGGTCAGGACAAGCAAAGGACACTCAGAGAAACAGAGTTACTTCTGGTGTTTTTGATTGTTGCTTCTCAAATACTTCATGAACTTGTAAATGTCAGATAAATCAGAGTGTACATAGAGACTTGTTTTAGCTTATTTTTGTGCTAAGGATAACACAGTGGCAATTTACAGTAAGATAGGCTAATAGCCTTGTCCTTGAGTTTTAATTCACACCACAGTGTCAGACTTTTATATGAAAATGTCAAAAAAGACTGCTCAGCACATCTCCCATCGTGACTGGAACATGTTTTTCACAAGTAATTCCTTGGGCCTATTTCTTATCTTTCCTTTGAAAGAGCGTTGAATAGCACAAGGTTTTCAGTGGAGGTGACCCAGAACATCATTAGAAATAAGATTATCTATCTAGTCTTTCTTCTCTCCCTCTTTTCTCTCTGATGGCTTCACTCTTAAAAGAAAAAAAAAGATTAAGCACTGCTTTTTTGGTGTCTTGTGTGTACCTTTTAAAGAGCACTTCCTAATGGGTCAGATTGAATGGAGAGCTCACATAAAATCTCCACTTTTTTCAGAGAGTTTTTAGAGACCTTGTGAAGTCAAGTCCACAATGAATTCAATATCAAAGATATGGTCTTCACAGGCATTTCTTTGAACTTTCCTTGTGATTTTTTAGGGGCAAAAAGCCATTTTTTTCCCAAACATCTGTCTAAGCCTGGTCTGAAAGGCATGTAAGTCATGATATTTGTTGCAATTCTGAAGGTCTTGAGAAGTTCATAGATATAACTTAGATGTAAGTAAGATAAGTTCTTCAAGATCCAAAAACAGAATAAAAAAAAAAAAACAAAATGTAACCACGGTTGGCATCTGTTGGGGAGAGAGAACTAGCATATCTTGGTAAGGAAAGAAGGGGGATATAATGTAGAACCTTTAGTGGCCTTTAGATGTGGATATCGCACTTCTAAAAGTCTGTCACTGTGGCAAAATGATAATATTGTGGCATTAGGACTAGATATATAGTGCAAAAATCACCCTAGATGTGTTTGATTGTAAATGTATGTGCGTAACTTGTAAAGGAGTTTTCTTCTTTGTAGTTCCACACTGAGTGGGCATTTGGCAACTCTTCCTCTGGCCCCTGAGCCCTAATGTCTAGTAAAAGACATGGTCATACCTTATTGCTGTTGAGAATAATGTATAGGTATTATACCATCTGATATTAAATAGAGCTCACACTTCTGTTTGTTTTCGCCTCAGTGTTTATTGCCACAACAAGGCTACGCTGTCAGCATGTAGCAAAGGTTGGGAGAAAACTGCAGGCTCAGAAATTTTGAGGATATTCATATTCATCATTTTTTTTTCTAAAATTAACTTAGCAAACTGATCCATCTGCCATGCTCTTAGGAACAAAAATATCTGGCTGTGTTAGCCAGTTGCAGTATCATCACACTGCAGAAAGGGCAAAACAGATGCTGGATTCATGAAGGATACTCTGTACATATGATGTAGGTGGTGGTGGGAGGGGACTTTAAGCAATATATTTTAAGGAGTGGATAATAAATGTGGGTGAAAGAAAGGCAGTAAGTAGTGAGGAAAATAGCATGAGATACTTAATGTGTAATGTGAAACAAAGTCTGTGACTTTACAGTGTTTTCTGCTTGCTGTCTTGATATTTTATCAGCCTATTTCATCTTTTTCCTCCTCCTTTCATCTTTCTATGTGCATATGCTCTTAGGCAGGGGTGCATAGCTTTTTGCATGTGCTGATAACTGTCAGATTAGCCATCACTGTTCATATTTACTTCCAAAGAGCAAGGCAGCAGCTGAGGCTTGCAGTACACAAAAATATTGGGAGTATCAGCATATGGAGGTGAAGGAGTAATACCTGTGTTTATTTCAGACTGCTCTGCGATGACTACAGCAAGATATAGGCCTACCTGGGACTTGGTACTTGACCCGTTAGTGTCCTGCAAGCTCTGCCTTGGCGAATATCCTGTGGAGCAGATGACAACAATAGCACAATGCCAATGCATCTTCTGTACCCTGGTGAGTTCACCCTTTAACAGATGTAAGTTTTGAAGTTAAAATTGACAATGGTTTTATGTGTTTTTCTGTTAAGTGGGTTTCACCCTGAAGTGTTGATACTATAGGTCTTATACCATGAGAGCATCCGTAATAATTGCTTAAGACCTATCCTCACCCACACATTCTCAGTAAAACATGACTCTCATATTGCACTCACTTGTGCTGCAATAGAAACTCACTGGCACAGGGCAGGGTTTGCCTGTAACATGAGGAACCAGCAAAGTGTTGTAGCAGGGGGTAGCACCTTGACTCTGATGGCCAGGAGATGAGTGCTGCCCTGTACTGTCTTTGAGAGCTGAAAGTGTTTCCCTCTTTCTCCCTGCTAGTATATAAGAATCTGTATGATTTTCACTATATGAAAACGGTAGAGCTAGAGATGGCATGGATTTATTTATTGTGCACTTGTGTGTTTTCATCTCTTAATTTTCTAGTTCTCAAACTGGAAATGGATGCTGTTGCTGAGTACCTTATGCAAACAATAGGAAAAAAACACTTGCTTTGTTATTAAAAAAAAGTCTTACTCAAGTATTTAAGAAGTATACTGCTATGGACAGTTACCTGTAGCTAAGTTATTACCACTTTTAATTGCCATTGATTATTTTTCTGTTTATCTATAGTTAGATTTTTTTTTCCTGTTTGCTTTTTTATTTTAGCATGAAGTCTCTTTGGAACAGATTCACATGCAACTAACACTTTATGTGTTGTAATTTCATCACGTAATAATTGCAATCACAGAAGTTTTTACTGCCATATTGCATAAATGCATGCTTAGGATAGGGAACATAAGAGAACCCTGTCGGTTCGGTACGAAACACAGAGTTTGAAAATAAGTGTTATGTAGTAAGATTCAGCCTCATAATACAATATAGGAATTGTTAATCTTTTCAAGGCTTCCATTATAGTGATTTGGTATTGGCAGTTGATAAGCACAGAAACAGCAGCGGTAGTTTTCAGCCCTATGGGGTGCGTTGGTATGATGATGTTAGATCCTTTAATCCTGCAATGACTGCAAGTACAAAAAACCCTTGTGATGATTTCTCAGCAGTGCAAAAATTGCAGTAATGCCGGAAATAATGTAACTCTAGGAGGCATTATGCTCAAAGATTCTAAGACTGTATCATCACCTCTTGAGAAGTTACATGTAATGTGCAAAGCCATGTGATTGACTTGAAAGTGCTTTCCAATAGATCTTCCTGCTTCCATTCCAGTGTTTGCAAGCAAGAATTTTCAGTGGCCTTATCTCCTCCTCTCACCCCCCACTTAGAAATGTCATCTGATTTTTATTTTGTTTTGTTGTTGTTGATAAGATACAGAAAAAATCTCCTTTTTTCCTTGTTGAAAATGGCAAAAAGCGATGCAAAACCAGCTTGTTTCTCAATGCATGTAATATTCTATAAAGTCCAAGGTGTTGCAACTTTCTTTAACACTGATGTTGCATGAGGAAAGAGAAGGTGGACATACATGCAAGTAAACAAAATGGTCCATTACAAACACTGTGTTTGTCCAGTTACAAAATAAGTATTTCTTCATTACACACATTGAAAGGAGTGTTTGCGCAAGCATGGAAAAGTGTATGAAATAATAGGCTTCATGGAAAAACAGAATCATAGGCTTTATGAAAACTGCTCTCTGCTGCACAATGGATAGTTTTAGTTTTCTTGTTACCTTTGATGTAGGGAATATTTAAATGTCGCTTCAGTAAGTTTTAATTGATGCCAAAAAGACCATATTGCCAACTATGTTGCTTATTCCCCATCACTCTCTTGTTCGATGCCATCCCTGATCTTCTTATTCTTCCTGTTAGAATACTGTTAGTGCCCTTACAATCTCTCAGAAATAGAAAGCCTTGATAGCTTGTTCTTAAGTTCTGGTGTAACTGGGTTCATGGTGGCATTGGCTACTTGTCTCTAGCAGTTTTCAACTGGAATCATCAGTCCATGCTTGTTACCATCCATACTTGTTTGTCTTGAATAGTTCACTAAGCTTTATCCTCTTTAAGAAAACCAACACATGCTGCTTACCTAGACATTTGTATGAACTTTTTACTACAATGATGTCTGAATGCAGTGAAAATTATATTTACCCTAAAGCTGTCCTGTGAAACAACAGAGAAAGTATTCATCACTGTTTCTGTGATGCATGAAGAAGTAAGAATTCATCACAGTAATTCCAAAGGGCAAACTATAAATCTATGGTAAGCCATCAATTTACTGTCACCGAAACACCTCTGCCTTGTGAACCACCTTAAAATTTAATACCTTATGTAAGGAAATACTCTAAAATTGGTCAGAAGAAAGACTCTATAAGTCCTTGGCAATGGTTAAGGAAGAGTGCATTGATTCTCCTGTTAATATTATTTCTTTGCCTCTGGGAGTCATCATTGCAATCCTCAATATTTGTCTGTGTTTTATAAACAGAAAAATAAAGGTACTGAAAATCAATAGGAAAAAAATATTTTTACTTAAGACTTTCTATATAGTCTAAACATAGTAGATCTTCAGTTAATTATACTAGCATGAATGGAAATAAACCTGGAGAAATGTTTGGTTTGCTATGTTTAGTTCTTGATGAACCCACATGTAATTTTGTTCTGGCTTTTTGCTTTTATGTGTATAGTCTAAGGTGAAAGATGGCTTCTGCAGAGTGATGATGAGAAAAAGCAAGCTGTTGGTTACCAGTGTGAAAACTATTTTTGCTGCAGCTCGTGCTCCTATCTCTAGCCATTCTCTCTCAACCACAGCAAGCAGGGGGATGTATTACAAAGAGATCTTTCAAGTGCAGTGCTAGGGGTATGTAGGCAGAATTTCAATCCGTGTGTGAATTTCTCAATCCTGCAATATTTATCTGCAAGACTCCTTTATAACCATAGAAGTGCTATGGTGAAGATCTCATGAAGGATTATCCCACCCAGCGCTTGGGCAGTATCGGTAGGATGGGGTTTCCTTTGGCAGGCAGAGCTCTGCAGGAAGGCAGCAGACCGGCCGCCGCTCCGCTGCTGATGAGGCCTGGGCACTGCTGCTTCCCGTCATGTTATTTTGCCAGTTGGGGCTATTAAAACCCATAATGGAGTATTGTACTATTGTTAGGACTGTTAATGCATGCACAATGCTGGGAGCTCCATTTCAGCTTTGTACATATTCTCCATTAGGAATATATCTGTTGTTGAATTACTCTGTGTGCCAGAGAAACAAAAGTCTAGGGAACAGAAAGGAAAACAAGCTATCTGCTGTTTGGTTTTTTTTTATTAGTTTTTAGGTGGGTTTTTTCCCCTGAATATTCTTACGGGCAAAATAAAATCTTTGTCTTCCTGGAAGCTGAATCATGTCAACAATAGAGGCAATGATTTGGGACCAGAATTCTTCAGTGTTTGCTTGGGTGTTGTTGTTGTTGTTGTTTCCTGTTTTTTATTTTTTATTATTTTTTCCCAATAAAAAATTAGGACAGAGTAGATAGCTAATAGCTTTAAAATGGTGAATCACTTTACCTTTTTTGGAGAAAACAAATGCTAAGATTTGCTTCCAGAAGGAAAGAAAATTAAACTAAGGGCATAAGTTTTCTTGTTTAGTTTTATTTGCGTTAGTTACTGCACTAAAATTCTTCACTTAGTACTTAGCCTTTGTTTTCTTTTCGTGTGTGTCGAGGGGGCAAATCCAGACTGACTCCACTTCCGGCCTGAAATTCTGATCCTTTTGTAATTCTCACCAGAGCTACAACATGTTTTGTTTTAACTGACATTTTTGCATTCAGATTAGCTGGTTAATGCTGAAGGAGAACAGATGTGTGTCTGTATATGTTTGTAATACAATAGCAGTGTAGCAGTGCTGCTCTTGTAAATACTGCCCTTTAAGAAAAAGCCTGAACTTCTTTTGACTTTGTGTTACTTAAAAGCAATGTTGCTCCATTCAAGTTTATGCAGTGCTGCGTATTCTGATCCCTGAGTAGTCATTCCCTTACTTTTCTCAAATTTAAAAAGCAAAATCGGAGCGGTGGGCAGTCCAGGCAAGCAAACATCTAGAAGAAATGTAAAGCCCGATAGAGAAAAATCAGGTTACCTGGATTACTCACCCACAAGCCTGCTTTCCTACCACTGGAAGGACGGGACACTATTCGGATGTTGGAGAGATACCGTTCCTACAGCTGGAAAAAAATAAAACCACAAACATACACAAACATACACCTGCTTCTTGTTCATGACTGCTGTTTTGCCCAATTGTGGATGTGTAAATCAGCTTTGTGTTAAAATTGACATTGCTGGGCCCGTTTTGTATATGTAACTTGTACTCTAGTAGTTTGCTCGGAGGCTCTTGTTTAAGACAACCTTAGACCCGTAGGTTCCTTTTAGCTTAGTATAATGATGATTTGGGTCTGGGAGGGTGTTCTGTCTCAGGTATCAGTAACCCACTTTAGCCAGCATTGCTGTATCTCCCTGACCGTGTGATTGCCTATTTCCACCACTCCCCTAACAGAGTTTTGGTGCAAGCTGAAGACCTGAAGGGAAGGGCCTGCCATGAGCAAAATAAATACTGCTAAGCTACATCTAACTGGCAGCCTACACTTTGTTCTTGTTGCCATGATTGACTAGAACCAAACAAGACCATGCTGGCCTTTGAGTCAAAAGACAGGAAAAAGCAACATTTAATTCCCTGGATCTCCCTCCTCCCAAACGAGGGAGCCTCAGTCCCTTTGGGTGAGGCAGGCCCAGAAGGATGTAGAGACAAGCCGATGAGCTCAGGTGCCTTCTCTTTGGCACTGCTTTCCCCCTGCTTGCCAAGGAAACCTATCCAAGCAGGAGGTCTCTGCACAGGGAAGCAGGCCCAGGCCAGGCTGTCCTGGCCTCTGCAACAAGGAGCTGCCCTGCTCATGTTTTTACAGAACTCTAGGTGGTTTTAAGTAGCTGTGTCTTCCTGTTTCCCTCTAGCTTTGGCAAGGCTTAGAGCTTGCTACTTGTGCTTGATTCCCTG